CTGTGGGACACCATGAAACATTCATGGTTCTGGGAGTTCGAGCTACCTTTGTGGTGGAATATTCAGTGCATGAGCTTGGGTACTCTTCGATCAAAGTTTTTCCTTTGTGTGTACGCCAAAAATTGCTCCTTTTTGGATTGCAGTGTGGGGGAATTATATTTTTTGTTGGATCTATTGGATCTGTGGGGCACAATGAAAGCTAGTGTTGCACTGCTTTCGTCTTCAGCCTTCTTTTCTCAGAACATTTGAGCTTATTGAATTGTTGTCGCAGTAAATCAATGGCGAGTGCCTTGTGCCTTGTACCATTCCGTAACATAACTGAATGCACCGTACCGTTACGTGCTAGAAGAGGGCGTTCACCTTGCTCCGAATTGCCATTCACAACGAGATCACTCGAACCAACAGCTGACGACGCAAGGCAACTGTTATTCTAACTCGAATAACAGCTGCAACACTCTTTCTGTCTCGCTCTTTGAGTGTGCCTGAATCATCAGCTGTTTTGGAACCGCCTCGACCTGCAAACGAAAGCAATTAAGCCGCACAAATCGACAAGGGGATAGAGAGAGAGAGAGAGAGAGACAACCAGACGACTGTCGCCGGCGACTAACGGCGCGCCGGCAGCACATGCCAAAAAGTATGCTACACGACAAAAATTAAAACTACATTTCGCTCAAAGCTAACGGCAGGAAGGAAGGAACTACTACTCTCGTGTGTGTGTGTGCATGATTGTGCCTGTCCAACATTTCTGTGTCGCTTGTAGCTTGGGCTTGGGCCATCATCACAGTCCTAGTCGCAGTCGCAGTCGCAGTCCCACAGAGTCACTCCGTTAGCAGACTGTCCGTTCAGTTGTTTAGCGAATTCCTGCGAGTCAACAACTTGCAACAAAAAAATAACAGAGCCAAGGATTATTTCAGCAATTTATCAAGTTCAATTCGATTCGATTCGGTTTGTGTTTGTGTCTGTGTCTGGAGTTTGGAGCTTGGAGTCTGCGATTCACAATGGTGGCCATCCATTTGCATTTGAATTGTAAGTAAACTTTGGAGTTCTTTATCGTGGAAAACTTTGATGTAAGAGCTTCAAGCTGGGTACCCCTGGCGCCCACATTTACTATGAATGAAGCTATTATCTAACTGTTTACCGTGCCTCCAAGAGGACGCCAGAGGAACCTATGCTTAAAACACCTCGATTCTCGGGGACTTTAAAACCACCTGAACACTCCCGCGATGGTTCAAACCCCCTACCCCCTATCCGGATAATTGAGTGCCATATTGGCCTATGCGTGGCCCCGCTGAGGGCCTAACCTAACCTAACTGTTTACCGAAATACCATTGCAATTAAACAAATATTCCAGTCTAGATACTATACCCGAAAGAGCCACCTTCTTCCCTTCCCTGTCGGGGAGGGCACAATTTCTATCCTTAATTGTTTCTTTGCCCATTTTCCTGATGCATATATGAAAATGGTTTCCATTGAAGTCTTGCCAGCCCAGCGGAAAAAACTGTTAATTGAACATGCATGGCACTGCCATCAAAGTTGCTGCCTTGACACATTCTCCACCAAAAACAAAGACCACAAGAGAGAGAGAGACAGAGAGAGAGGGAGCGAGACAGACTTTACCCTGGCACGCCCTGCAGCAGCGCAGGACAACACCTCCTTGGCCCCCGCAAAGGCATCAACTGCTGAGTCATACAAATAATTTAATTAAATGGAAATTAAAATGCTTTTATGAATATTAAGTAAAAGGCAACAGACGAGGCTCTTATGGCGTTTTTCCCCTCCCGTTTCTTTTGGGGACTCTATTTTTCGTGTCTTTGCCATTCTTTGCGACTGGGTGTGATAATTATTGAAAATGTTTCCCATCTGTCCTCTGGTGTTCTCTGGCGGGCGTGTGTGTGTGCGTGTGTGTGTACCCTTGTTGGGGCCAAAAGTTTTTATGCTCGAAATGGAACATTTTAAGCAAAAGTTTTTGGAGTGCTTCCAGCGGGGAAAAAGTCTTCAACAAGAATGTAAAGCCAACTTACGAGGAGGAGTACGAGGAAGAGTGCGAGGAGGAGTGCGAGGAGGAGTGCGAGGAGGAGTGCGAGGAAGCATACGAGGAGGGGTACGAGGAGGGGTACAAGTATATGCAGTATTTTTTAGACAACTTTTGAATATGCTGTGCAAGGCAAAAGGCGAATGGCCATAATTGGATTTTGGCTATTTCACTTCATTTGGCTAAGTGAATGGGAGCACAAAAACTCCAAAATGGAAAACATAATTGGATATGCCACTAAAATATCCACGAAAAAGACCGCCAAAAGTTTGAAACAGTCAAAAATATGCAACATAAATGGTGGCAATTTTTTCACGAATATTTTCCGCCCCAAAAATGTAGAATGAATGCATTTTTTTGGTATTCATGGATTATTTGGATATCTCTTTTTTTTTGCTGCGCTTCTACCAATCCACCGACAATCATCCCGATCGGGGGCACAAATAGAGATGTGGGGTTGATATTTGCTGTGTTTCTATAGAAAGATATCATCTACCATCGGCTATATCTCGTTGACAGAGTGTGGAACACCACTTGAATATCGACTTATCGACCCTTTCCCTACCTCCTAATTGTACCCCTTAAGAAATAACCGAAAATGTTGCCCAGCAATTAATTAATGAAGACAAACACGTTAGTCATTCAATTAACTTCCACAAAACCGCCAGCAATCCCCGGCGACACAGTCATTAAGTTGCCTTTCGGGCTGAGCTGTACTTCCTCCTTAGTCCCCGATTCTGGGTGATGTGTGATTGACTATCTCTGACGGCATGGCTTTATACTATGTGGGTGGTGGCCCTTTTGACATTTATTTTGCAGAGTCTGCAGATGTGCTGCCTGCCGCCTGCCGCCTGCTTTTTTGGGGTCTGATAAATCGCTTCCTTCAGCTCTCGACTGTCATAAGCAGGATTTTCGAGAGATATCCCCCGCCCCTCCCCCCCCTTTCGAATGAGGTTCATTGTGGGAGTTTATTAAGGCGAGCATACGGCCAGGCGGCTATCAACACTTTATCATGTCGTTCCAATTAAAATCATGTCAGATTTATAGCAAATTTTTGTGGGCGCCCCCACATAGAGAACCTTAGGCGGCAGAGGTCCGTCCTTCTTGATTTCATTTAGCACAAATTGTTGGCCAGGATTTTTAATTAAAAGCGTGAAATGTCAACGGCTCTTTTTATTGCAGCAGTGCCTCCAAAGAGGGGGAGGGGCTGTACTACATTAAGTACGAGCACATAAAATGCAAGTTGGCAAAACTCTCTCTCTCTCTCTCTCTCTTTTAGCAAAATATTTTAATTGAGGTCAAATGCTGTGTGGTGTGGTGTGTTCGGGTATGTGGATGCATTTTACGCTGCTTTAAATTTGTATAATGATGCTTATTATGTTAATGAGAGTTTTTAGTTGGGTCCTGCGGCCAAGAACAGCTTGGGTGTAGTGTTAACAAGCCCTGGGGTCCAAAAAATAAGCACAAGCAACGACCGCTCCTTCCCCCACGGACAAACCCGCGCTAAAAAGAGTTTGAGGTCCCGCCATATATGATCCAAGTCAGGTAAACAGGAACGGAAAGGATCAACTGATCACATAATCGAATCTTCCGACCAGATGCACCTGCGTTCGAAAACACCGCAACTTTTTGACACCATTGGGCCCCTAGTGCTGCAAAAGCTTCTAATCAATGACGTATCCATAGTGTAAATATGCTATTCGATAGCTTTTTCCTACGATAGCTACGATTCCCAAAGCCGAGTAAATCTTTTGTATAAAAACATGCAGGCGGACTTGATTTGGAATACCCACAATAATCTATACAATTTGTGGGATACAAAATGGTGCTTCCTTGCTTATTCGAATTACTGTCGACAAAAACCAAACATGTCTGTGCTTGTCACCGTTGCTTGTCTCCCAGCAGAACCGATTAATCGAACAACTCGTGTACTAGTACGGTCACACTGCCCACTGCGCTGCACCGTTCGCGTCAGTCTAGAAATGAAGTTTAAATCAATTTTAATGAAAAGCATTTTGGTAACGTCGTCTTATTGAATTGTTTCAATTTGATTTTCCTTTCTGATAAAATTTTGTGTCATAATATCTCAGCGCGTCTTGTTAAATTTTACATTCATATTTAGCAAATATTTGTCCCATAATATCTGTGAGCGCGTCTTGCCGGAGAAGCCGTTTTTTACAGAGGAAAAGCACAGGTACCCTCTATTCGGGCGGCATATTCGATTATTCTTGCGCCTTACAGCTCGTTTTGCACTTTGTGGATCGCCTTCTTTCGCTGTCGTCCAACTCGCTCGTCATTGGAGTCGGGACAAGCGGAGATAAATTAGCAAATTAAACAATAAGAAAGTATATTAAGTTTTTCAAGTGTCAAATCTAGTGAAGTTCCAAAAGACAAGTAAGTATGGACCTCTGCTTAAACGTTTTAATCTTTGGCAAAAGGCAGCCCACGTTTTCTGTGTTTTTTTTTTGTTTTTTTTGTGTGCCAGTCTGCGACAGACACATGCGGACATGCAGTACGGTTTTTGTGTGTGTGTGTGTGTGTGTGCGCTGCAAATGCTCAAGTTTCGTGTTTGTTTAAATAACATCGAGTTTCGGAATCAATCTGGAAGATTTGTATGTGCGCAAAGCCCAGCACGCATATTTTTTCTGCCTCTTTTTCGTGCGCGTGTGTGAGTGTGTTGTGTGTGCCGGCAATGCTGTCTCATCCGTGCTTATACATACATACATACATTCCACTCCACAATCCACACATATGTGTGCGTATATTCCAAGCGTTTTGGGATATTCTTTCCAGTAGGCTTTGCAAATGTCATCCCCTGCTTCTGGAATATGTGCGTAGGTATTTCGCACATCCAAAGGGCACTGCTGTAGGCACATACAATACATAAATTAGAAAACTAGACATTTCTGCGCAAAACAGACGTACATAGTACACACAGAAATATCTGTAATCCATCCAGCATTCATAATTCATAGCAATTCAAGGTATTACTGGTGTAAATTCTGAACGTTTGGGTGCCACTGCTGCCTTTTTCCAAAGTTTAAACATCGTTAAGTTCGCTCACAAAACATCAAGTCATCAACGAATCTCCCGCTCAATCCCCCAACAGAATGGATCACCGTCCAATACTAGAACTAGGCCCGTCCGGCATGATGGATTTAATCGGGTTCGAGGAGCCAGCCGTAGCCGATACGGCTGGATCGGATGCAGTGCATGTGCTGCCAGATCGTCACATTGGCTTTCCGTGCCGCCAGTGCCAGCGGGCCGACTATCGGGGACTTCGCCACTCGTGCTTTTTCTGCAAGGACTACCATCTGTGCGGCAATTGCTTCGCGAGTAACAACAGGCCGGAGTCGCCGCACCACAAATATTATCACATAATGCAGGTGTTCTACACCCGCACTGCGTACGAGCTGTTCTTTGGCGGGGAGCCCTACACCGGCACCGGGGATTGGCAGAGCTTCCAGTGCGCCCTGTGCCTGCAGCTGGGATTCACCATCCAGACGCTGTACCAGCACCTGCTGCAGTCGCACCGCGACCATCCCGACCACAGGGATTACCTGCTGATGACCTATTCGTACTACTTTGTCGACCGCTCGTCGAGGAATGCGGCTCCTACACCTCCGACCGCCGCTGATCAACCTCCTCCTGGATCTGTGGTGTTCCCAGACAGAGACGAAGACAATGTGCCAATTATTGAGCTTGAAATAATAAGAACGGCACAAGTAGAACCAGCAAGGAGCGCTAACCGTGAGGCAGCCGCAGCCTCATTCAGAGCCGCTGCCAGATCCGCTAACACAGCCGCAGTCAGAGCCGCTGCCACAGCCGCTGCCAGATCCGCTGCCACAGCCGCTACCACTGCCACTCTCGCTGGCGCTGGGGCAAGCAATGATGAAATGGAACAAGTGGCGCGTGCATTACGAGATGTGAGGGATCGGCTGCGAAGTCTGGACCCAAACAGCGATTCATACGAAGCGCTCTGCACGGGACTGCTGATGCGGGCCCGCTGCCTGCACGAACTGTATGCCCTGAGCAGCAATACAGTGGGTATTGAATCCGATGTCGATCGCGTAACTCGCCAGATCGAGCGGGATGCGTTTACGCGCCTATATGGGAGTCAGTCGACTTTCGTCCTAGGCGAAGTCCCATCGCCAGCAGCCTCATCTGGCTTGGTTCCACTCATCCGGCAGCAGTGGCCTGCAACTGCACCACCAGTTGCTGGTGGTCGTGCCGCCGCTACGCGTCGACCAAGCCCAGAATTTGTCCATCCATCGTTGAACTTCCCCCGCCATCAGTCCGGCAATCAGTTTGTGCCGATTTCATTCCGCGGCAGCCAAGCCTCCGCAGCGGCACGCTACGAGGCCCTCAACCACTACGCTATCTTACGCGGCACTCATCAGGCTGAACGTGGACCCCATGGCGTCCAGGCCGGTGTGCCGATAAGAATTCCCACGAGCACACAGACCGCGGTGGCAGCACCACCACCACCACCACCAAACACGGGCACCGCCATCACAGAGCTGCCGGTTGACGTTGCCGAGCCGGACCCGCCAGAGAATCCAATCGATAAACTGGATCTCAATGATGGTCGTTTTTTGAGCTCGAGACTGAAGGAACGCTTCGAGAAGATGCCAGAAAATACTGAAGAAGAAGGAAAGGTGGCCAAGGCCCGCCTCGTCGACGCTGTTTTTTGCTCCATGCTATCGGAGAAGGATCTCACCTCAGTGCCAGTTGATTTGCTCTTGATGCAGGAGATGGGCTCCACTGCCTCAACTACTGTGGCTGCCAACGAACCGAAGCCCCTGGAGGAGCCACTGACCGTTGCTTGTGGCGCGGAAGAGGGCCTCAACCAAGTGCCACGTTTGATGCAGTTGGCCCAGAATGCCATCCGCGCCCCTGAGTTGGCAGTGGATCCCATGATAAAGTATTTCAATGGTCTCGTGGACTATAACAACTGGCTTGGCCGTTTTACCATCTCCGTGAAAGCAAAGAAAGGAGCCACAGAGATCGAAGCTAAGGAAGAATCCAAGGAACCAGAGGCCCAGCCAACATCCAGCAACCGATATCTAGAGAACATACTGCAGATCAGTTCATCGGGCAATAACGGTCAAGATGGAGACGACGGCCCGAACGATCAGAATCCGATTGCATTTATTGATAGAAACGATGGCGATGACGAAGACGACGATAGCAATGACGACGATAGCAATGATAGCAAGATGGGCAACTATTTTGCCAACGATGACGATGATAATGGAAACATGGCGGATAACGATACCAATGATGATGCGAGCAACACCTATCCCTACGAGATTAATATTTTTGTTGATCCGGAAGGACATAATCAGCAGCCAGTGGACAATCTGCCAGCAGCTCCAGACATCATTGAAGGCGAGTTGTCCGGGTCCGAAGTATCTTACGACGATGATGATGATCTGTACAATGAAGTTTACGATTATGACTACATTTGGGAAGATTGAAGTAAAACGGAACGAAAGCAAGAGAGAACGCAGGACAGGAGAACGAAGGAAAACAATACATATGTACATATAAAACATATAACAATACTGATTCTGAAACAGAAAAAATAGCACTTCAAAACATATAATACTCCACCATTTCAAAGAAATATTCACCTTAAAGAACACTTGTAACATTTAAATTGTACTGTTGTTATTGCCAATTAAAATGAGTTCCTTTCAAAATGGAATGTCAAGTCCGTAGAGATCAGTCCAAAGAAGGCTTAAACTCTTGGTCGGAATCCACGGCAGTCCCTAATTCTCTTCATAGCTATCTCTATAGGCTATAGCAGGTAGCGAAAAGTAGTTTTATTTCGGAGCTTTGGAGGAATCTGCAGATAGTACAGATCTACAGTATTATTCAATGGGAGTCCAGATTTGTGGTTAGCTTTTCGCTTCCCTAGATCCATATCTGCCTTTTCAGATAAGCACAGAGCTGCGATAGCTCCTACGATTACATTGTCATTGTCTCCTCGTTAGAAGTAAACAGAAATATCGAGCCAAGCAGGCATTGCCATTCAATTCGTTCGCAGAGTTGCTTCGTGTCGGAATTCCTCTCAATTATCGTAGAAATACCGACATCGCAACATCGAAGCGCAATAAATATACAAAAAGCAAACAAATTATTAAAAAAAATTCATTTTTGGAACCCTTCTCCGATTGTGAAGTTTATATTTTTCTAAATACAAAAAATAATCAAGAAAAAAAGACAAATACGCAAGCAAATTGTTCCGAAAAAAAGGGAAAGAGGAAAAACGCGTGCGTTGATATTTTTTCGACTGTGAAGTCTTTTGTGGTGTGCGTGTGCGTGTGCGTCTGCGCGTCGAAGAATGTCTTCCGATTCCGATTTTCCGGTGTTGCACCGCAAGTGCTTGGGCTGCCCCGCCCTGGGCGATCTTGGACGTTGGTACGAGTGTGTCGTGTGCGGCACTCAGATCACACTATGTGGACCCTGCTTCGACCTGGGCAAGAACCGCGTCAGCCCCAAGCACAAATACTACCACCCGATGCGTGCCCTCTACAATAAGAAAATGGCCGACATCTACTTTGGCGGCGAGGTGTTGGTGAACGGCGAGGCTCCGCAGAGCTTCCAGTGTCCCTTCTGCGATGATATGGGCTTCACCGCCGAGGAGTTGGCGGTCCATGTGCAGGAGAAACACTCCAGCCACCCGGATGCCTCTGCATTGATAGAAATATTGGAGACCATGTCGAATGGCTACATGGGCTCTTTCGGTGGTGCCCGTGCAGACCATCTTGCCATGGAGGAGCAGCCATTGGGTGGTCTGCAGGTTCCCATGGATGAAGAGGAGGATAAGAAATGTGAGTAGAGTGTAGAGTAGAGTAACGGATGGACCAGTTCTTGCAGGTCTTCTTCCCATCGACTCTCGACCGCAAAAGCCACTTTGGTAAATTGCTTTGGCAGATTTCCGAGCCAAATGGCTCTGGTCAGGGCGAAGAGAATGGTTTTAAAAGGGTTACGGAATCCTGAATCTGAAAGTTAAATGAAGATGGCTTTGCGCTGTTGCCCCTCCCTCCCCCCTTCTGTGGTTTGTGTGGGCGGAGGAGGCCCATCAAATCTGTCAGCCTAATAGACTTGACTCAACACTTGACCTGGTCCAAGACATCATTACTCAGAGCCAGTGGGCACGCACACGGGGGCACTGGGAGGGAAAGCGAAAGCTGAAAGCTTAATGCTGAAAGCGACCCCAAAAGCGAGTGTCATGATTGACAGTCGGACAAATGGTAGGACTAACCGACCGACCGACAGACGGACGGACACCTACTCGAATAATGGCAAATTATGTGTCAACAGCAATCATCCGGACACCTACGCAGCAGTCCGCTGTCCCTTTGCTCGAAGTAGATGGTATATTTTGGGGTAGGTACACTAGAGGGGGAGCGCTTCGTCCATTTATTGTGGGGGAAACGTATATATTTTTGTTTTGACAAATAATTTTCCACTTCATTTGATAGTCTTGCCCTCGGATTCGTCTGCCCTCTGGTTAAACAAAAGCCCCGTCCCCGATGTCAGGGCGTTGGGTTTCCCAGGGTATTTTGCTGATTTGCGCGTTGTTTGTGATTTGTTCTCGGGTTCCGTCTTGGGATTGCGATACTCCAATGTTGTTTAGGCTTAAGATATATTTATGAAGGAGCTATGGAATGATTCTAGATTAAGAGGGGATTGGAAATGGCACTTTCGGTTCTAGCAAATGTAATTAGTTCCTGAAAAATGCCCCATTCCTAATTCGATTTACTTTAAAAAGAATCTTTAAAGAACCCTTGAAACGAAAACTCCCAAACTGCTGAATAATAACATTTTCACACTTGCCGCTGCTGGGCAAAGTGCATTTTCCAGTGCATTTAATTTTAATAATTGTTCCGTGTGAAAATTCGCATTTTATTCGGTTTTCTTTGCCGCTTTCATGCGCTGCACTGCTCGCACTGCTGCTCCGCGTGCGTGTTCGTGTGCGTGTCCGTGTGTCCGTGTGCGCATGTGTGTGGCACCATTCTGCCCGTCATTGTCAGCGAACGACTTTGCCGGATTTCTCGTTTCTCGTTTTGTTTGGCGGCGCTTACATGAATTATGGTTTGCTCTCGGAAAAAGTGTGAATATGTCCTGGAGGCAGTGGCAGAGGCAGAGGCAGAGGCAGTGGATATTTTGCACGTGTGCGGTGTTGCATGGGCATCGGAGAGTGCAGCGAGGCTCGGCCATTAATCAAAATGCGCTTAAAAAGTGCGGTGCCCCAACTGTGAATGCAAATATGCAAAGCCAGAGATCCAAAAACAAAAGTTAATGGATATTGGGGTGGAGAAGAGACTTTTCCCAGAATGCGCTTAACTCTGAGCGAGTGCTCTGCCACTTCAATCGCTTTAACTCTTAATACCTTCATCATCGCCATCTGTGAAAAGAGCAAGGGTATATCGGACCCCAAGTTGCTTCGATAGAGGTCCGGCCTTCTGTTTGTACGAAAGCTTGGTTCTTAGAGATATGATCCACTATTTAAAATCTATCTATCTATAGCTTTAGTTGCGAATCTGACAACGACAACCCAACCCAACCCAACTTTTGGCTCCCTACCCACTGTCGTATTCCTGCACTTTTTTGGTTTTTGGTCACGGCTTTTCGACCTTAAATGCGAAAAGTACACACAAGACGCACAAGTAAGAGGGGTAGGGGGAGGGGGATGGGGTGGCAGTGCAAAAATGATGTCATACGAGCTGCAGAGGGTGGCTTAAGGGTGAACTGGAATTTCCCCCTTCGACCGACCGACCACAACTTTATATTTATAGCAGCCCCCCCAATGCACAAATATTGAATTTCTTTAACGGCCCTCCATCTCCCGCTTCTCTCTCGTCCACAGCCACTGAGATTCGCTGCCAGGAGAAGTCCCGCGGCGGACTGAGCTATGAGGTCATTCTGGCCGAACCGGCACCCAATGTGGCCGTGCCCAAGCGTCCGGTCACCCCCGGCAAGAACGTCAGCGTGGAGGAGATTGAGCAGAAGCTCAAGGCAGCCGAAGAGCGTCGCATTGTAAGTAGAGTAGAGTAGTCCGTCCCCCATTTCGCTTATCCCTCACGGAATCGTTGCCTTAACAAAACGAATTTGTTTGCCTTTCGCAGTCTCTGGAGGCCAAGAAGATGGCTGATATCTCGACCAAGTTGGCCAAGGTGGATGAGGCCACCCGTAAGAAGGATGAGATCACCAACGAGTTCATCACTCAGACCAAGGAGCAGTTGGAGTCCAAGATGGAGCAGCACGTGGAGAAGCGCGAGGCAATCATCAGTGACATGAAGGAGAAGCTAAAGGTTTGACTTCGAGAGATGCCTTCCATGCAATTCCTTAGCTCATATAAACTCTCTCCAAACAGATTCACGCTCAGGAGATCGAAAAAACGCGCGAGACCTTGGAGCAGCAGAAGGCCAATGAGCAAAAGGCCATCGAAGAGAAGCTTAAGATCGCTCAGACCTTGCGCGATGAGAACATAAAGAAGATGCTCAATCGCCTCAAGGAGCATGTGAGTGTGTGCATACGTCGGACAGCATGGCTTGGAAGAGAGCTCCTCTTGTGTAGATGATTTGACCTTAACATCTAGTTCCTTTGATCTGTTTGTAGTTGCTTGACTTAGAAGATAGAAGTAGTACATTTGTACAAGCGAAATTGACGAATATTCAATTGAAATCTATGTGAAATCTCAATCAGATTCTATATTGGAACAAGAGTTTATCATTGTCTATGGAAATTGCATAATTTAAACTCGAGAAACTCTAGGTCTTAATAAGCATTTGATGCATTTCATGTATTTGTACGATAAACATACCAGTATTTAGTTCTTATTCATCTATAATTGCATTAGGGAAAAGGAAGTTGACCACTTCTGCTGCTTAAACCATTAAGACTAAAGACTAACCACTAACTACGTTCAATGAAAGAGTTCTCCAAACTATTCAGAATCTTTGCTAGATAAATTTCATATCATCAGTTATAGCTGAATGGGACTGCTTTTCCATTGTCTTAAACCTATTACTTTCACCCAAGTAACCAAAAATATCACCAGACTTCCACCAAATCTTTTTTTTCGTCTGAATATCTGTGTACTGTAAATGTGTATATGTGTTTGTGTTTCGGATCATGTGTATATATAATTTTTGTTTTCATTTCTCTTATATCCTCTCATATAGAACACTGTCAAAATTGCCGAGATTAAATCACACCAAGATCAATTGGAAACACAAAAGCTAGAGGAGAAGGCGCGCATATATGAAAACAAATTGTTTGCCGCCGAGCAGAACCGCGAAAAGGAGATACAAAAGAAAATTGAGAAAGTGCAAAAACTTGTACGTTTGTTCCCCCTCTTTTCCCATCAACAAAAGCAACCCCGCATATGCCTTATCATTTGAGTAGCAGTAGATCTCAAGATAAGAATCTCTGCAAGATCCAAACCCAACTAATTATATCCTTTCCTTATGTTATTTGCAGGAGCGCCGTGCCGAGCTCGTGCGCCAGAATAAGGCCCAGACCCAGGATATGGATGGTCAGCAGAATGCCATCGCCTCGTCGGGTTAGATGGGCTGTGCCCTCCACAGAGCGTAGACCGTCATTACTTACTGCAGCAAAAAAAAAAAAAACAAAAAAAAAAAAGGAAACACTACATACACCAACAACACGTATTTAAGCAAACACGAAAACCAATACAAAGGCAGCAACAAATTTGCTTCAAGAAAATTTCAAGTATTATAAACGACATAGAAAGACGAGCAGGGCATATCGAATATCTCAAGATTCCGCTGAGCGAGATGAGGCCCAAAAAGATATTGCAACAACAACCAGCAACATTTATTCACAAAACTTTTCAACAAAACAAAAAAAAACAAAAAAAAAAACACAAATCAAGGCAAACCAGATATACTATATAGCAACGGCAAAAACGATGCAAAATCAACTTAAACAAATCTATAAGAAAAGAACATAACCTTTTCAAAATATGTTTGCTTCATTTCGAATTTCTCGTTTTGCGTTTGTTCCATTTGATTTTTAATTCTGTTCAACAATTTTAAAAACTTTCAAAGCTCTTGTATTGCTGCTGGGCAAACTGATTATGCAGTGGCTCAAAGGGGGCTCCCTGTATGCAGCCGCATACTCTGCAAACGTTGATGAGGCCTTCAATTAAAGTTTTTGGATTTCCTTTGTGCAGAAGAAAGTCTTCAAATTCCTGACTTCAAATCGGACTTCGTTCAAAATCATATTAGGGGTAGAAAAGGCGACCATACCTGCTGCGTTAATTTTTCATCCTGTTCCCCATCATTTTTGGCTCCCCTTTGATGCACGATGCGAGCGTGTTCCCCCAACAGCAATTTTTTAAACTCCTTCAGAGCAAAAATTGAACGAGAAATTCGCAAGAAATGTATTTTGAAATAATTTGCAATTGCAAAAACACAACAGCCATACAGAAAAATCACTCATTTTGCCTCGAAACATTTGTTGTACTGCTATTTGCCAGAAATCCAATATTCACAAGATCTATCATTTAAATAAATATACATTTTTTTGAATACGTGTATAATTTGAAGTAATTTTTTATTTATTAACATATGCAAAAAACACAAAAAAAGAGAAAAAAAGAAAAACAAAAGTTGGAGACAGTTCGACACTAACAATTAAAGATTTATATAAGTTTCGCATTTTCTATCTATAAAATAAATGTCAAACAGAAAAAAATACATAAGAAATGCTTATAAAAACTAAATAAAAAAAGAAATCAAATACAAAGTAAAACAAAACACTGCATTTTTGTTTCATTTACAGACAACATAAACAATATAAACACAATTTAGGCATTAACATAAAGTAAAATTAAAGTAAAATATATAAATAATTATATGTGGAATGATATGAAAAAGCATATTTTGTCTAACGTCGAGTTATATTTAGAGAAAGAATGGCGCAGGTTTTTGGCCGGAGCATGGGTTAAGCGAAATTTATGGGGGGATTATAATACAAACGGAAATGGAAAATTTAGGCAAATTTTGTTTGCAGATGCTGCGAATATTTTCCCCAAACTTTGTTTTGCACAAGAAAGGGCGCTGAATTTAGCTTAAATTTGAATATCTCTCTCATACGGTTATAAATGTGTAATACTACGGCTACTATAACTGAATATATATTATATATATTATAAATGCAAGACAACTATACGCACAGAGCCCCAACAGCAACCCAGACACGAGAAAACTTTCCAGACATTCAAAAGAAAAGCTAAGGAAACTTGAAACACGAAACCCACATTGCAAGTGCATCAATACAATTGATAAAAATGCTTCGATATTTACTCAATTTATGATATATTACTAATATAAATGTGTAATCAACTCCAATAATCAACCGAACAAAATTTTTGTATGAGAAACCAAGCACAGAAATGAACGAAACGAAGGTTACATTTTTCAAATCAATGTTCTCTAAATAGTACACATAAAAACAGAAATACGACAGCTTGCGAAAATGGTTTTTATAGTTTCACGCATAACTTAACATTAAGTTTACATAAGCAACTAAATAAATGGACGATAAGCAAGCAAAATACTTATAAATGAATGTATAATAAAAGTGCATAATACAAATAAATGAAATATTTATAATTGGTAGAAAATGCGTTTTCTCAATGTTCAGAAATATTTCGGTGTGGAACTTTAATTAACTTTGATTATTTCAAATTTCAATTTTTAGCGGGCAGCGCGGTAATTCTACACATTCATATCGATAGCAGCTGCACGGTTTTCTAATCGAACGGTCACACCAGTATTTGCTGTATACAATGTCCTTTTTAGCTCAACAATGTCCCTTACATTCCATACTCACTTACGTTTTCTTACGTTTTATGCTGCTGGCAACATTCAATTTGTATGGGCTAGACTCATCGAGCAGCATTGTTCCACAACATTTCGCGGATTGAGCAACATTTAGCATACCCTGGCAAATGGATATTATAGAACTGAGAGAATTTTTGTCATCTAGTGCACCAATAGAGGCCAAAACTAGTCAGTTTCTGTTTTAAAGGTATTTCAACGATATTTTGAAGGTTTTGGTCTTCTTACAGAACCCAAGAATGGCTATCGGGATCGAGATATATATACAAGACCCTAATCATATGCATTAATATGTCCAAAACACAACAATCTGAGATCATTTCTATATTAATTACGTTTTAAAACAGTTTCTTCATATTATATTATCCAAGTAGGGTATACCTGTGCCCAAACTCACTTACGGCGCATTAAATACTCACTTACGTTGCCACTGTTTTTTTGTTGGCCTTTTTTTTAACCTTGTTTTCTACACTATACAAAAAATGAGAGTACTTAAAAGTAGTCAATCAGGTAGAAAATTGATTCACTAATCGGATAAAATTATGTGGGCATGGCTAAATGTGCTATATAGTTGGGAATATTCGACGGAAGATCGAAAACGAGGAATATGTAAAGCAGAACTTGAACTCGTCAGTATATTTACGGTATATTTTTTTAATGAGGCTGTATGTTTCGGTATCTTTATGAGGGTCGGACCACATTTTATCAGTCCGCGGTCACACTTTTTATGATTCACAACAAATCGCAGAAAATTAAGTAAAAAGTGAATTAAACATACGATTTAGCAACAATAAGCATATACAATGGCCGCCACATTGAAACCCTATCTTACCGCCGTGCGGCACTCGCTCACCGCCGCCATGTGCCTGCAAGATTTCCCCTCCCAAGTGGTGGAGCGTCACAACAAGCCGGAGGTGGAGATATGCTCCAGCAAAGAGCTGGTGCTCACGCCCATTGTGGTGTCCCGCAACGAGCGGGAGAAGGTTCTGATTGAGCCGTCGATCAACTCGGTGCGGGTGAGCATTGCCGTGAAGCAGGCGGACGAAATCGAGAAGATACTGTGTCACAAGTTCACGAGGTTTATGATGCGCCGCGCCGAATCCTTCGCCATATTGCGCCGGAAGCCCATCGAGGGCTACGACATTAGCTTCCTCATCACTAACTGTCACACGGAGCAGATGTACAAGCACAAACTGGTGGACTTTGTGATTAGTTTCATGGAGGAGATCGACAAGGAAATCAGCGAAATGAAACTGGCAGTGAACGCCAGGGCTCGAACATGCGCCGAGGAGTTCCTCAAGCGGTTCTAGAGTGAGTTATTGTTTCTGTTGAGTTTGAGAGACCCTAATCGGTGGATTTACTTCGCAGGTGGAAACACAGAGGTATGAACTCACGCATTTAGTATTTCCAAGTGGATTCAAGAATAAAGACGGCTTTTTTAAATATTAGCTCAATTTATTAAAAACATTCTGGGGCACTGACCAATCACAGACCTTGGCCGCACCACCACATCACCACGGCATTCTCATAGATCACTTCTTGTGGCTTCTCCTTCGACTGCTCTTGCTCCACTGCTCCTGTGCAATCCAGAACGCTGTCATTGACACGACCATCGCTGCCAATGAAATGATATTGCCCCGAGCTAGAGGCCAGGATTGGAAGCGTCGGGTGGAAACTAGCTCCATTGCAGCAGTCGTTGTGGAGTGGAAGAGCAGATACTTCGCCATCGCCGTTCATATCCCAGACGTTCAGAGCACCCTGCGTATCGCCGCTGGCCAGCCATCCCAGGTCCGGCGTCAGATCGAATTGTATGCGCTGATTGGTCTCCACATTGCGCTGGTACTCTTCCAAGGGCTTCTTGTAGTTCCTCATGTCCCACTGCAGCAGCTTTTGGCATTTTCGAGCGCCACTGAACAGCTGCCATCCCGCAGAACCTTCGGCGTACTTTAGTTGGGTAATCCCTCCCTTGTGGCCACCCAGCGTAAAGAGCGGTCCCTGCTTGGGGCTGCAACGGAGGTCAAAGTGTTGGATATAGCCATGCCAGTTGCCGCAAGTCAAGGTGTTGTGGTGCTCCGTAGTCTGCGCAATGCATGAGATGGCAAACTTTACTGGATAATCGTCACAGAGGCGGCCAGGACGGCTTGTGTCGAAGATTTTAATGCATCGCTTATAGCCCGCATAGATCTGCTGGCCATCGTGGGAGAAAGCCAAGGATATGGCGGCCATTACTTCGTCCACGGCATCATAGCCACTGTAACTGCAGCGCAGCTTCCCATCGAAGGCATCCCACATGTGAATGGGTTCGTGTTGCCGTGTGGCGAGCCAGCTAAAGGAGGTAACTATGCATTATATTGCCTTGTAGAAGGAATCGATGTACTCACAAACAGCTATCTGGTTCCTGGCTATTCATATGCGGATACCACACGCAGTCATAGACAGTGCCACCTTCGGGCACGTGCACTGCAGGCACAAGATTAGTGAGGCCGCGCTCCTGCGCCACTGTTGTGGCGGTGTACAGGTCCGGGGGCAGTTCCATGACGTGCATTCCATCCAAATGTATGGGAACTAGCAGGCAGGTGCCATCGGGCGACCAATAGCAGCCTTTAGTGTAATGCTGAGCCGCGGCTGAGGATTTCCAGCAACGCCGCCCTACCTCTATAAGTTTATTCTTGAAATACTCCAGTGGAGCAATCTCTTCAGCTTCCACTGCCACAATCTCTGTAGCTTTTTCTGTCACAAACGGCTCGTTTTCGTTGGCTACAACCGGCTTGTTAACGTCCAACACAATCAATTGATTGCTTTCCGGCACAATCGACTGAATTTCAGGTTCGTCTATAGTGTCTTCGAGGTTTATGACGGATTCACTCTCCTCTAAAGTGGATTCTTCATTTAGTGTGGTCTCCTGCATACTTGTGTCTTCTTCCAGCGTGGTTTCCTCCTGCACGCTGCTCTTCTCTTGAATGCTGCTCTCTTGCACGCTGATCTCCTTATGCATGCTGCTCTTCTCTTGAATGCTGCTTTCCTCCTGCACGCTGATCTCCTCCACGTTAATGGACACATCCATGTCCTCATTGGGCCTGGTGCTAGCATCAAATTTTTTTTTCAGTTTGCATATCTCCGCCTCGGTTAAACTGAACGACAAATCCGCGCTTGATGTCACCATTGTGCTGCTGAAACTCACGTTGTTATTCAACAGCGCTGCAGATAAGTCCTGCTCCTCCACGTCGCACATGCTGGTGCTTAGATTGGAAGCCGCTGTAAAGGTTTTTGTTGGTTTTAAAGTTAAAAAACAATCATCAACATTTAAAATTCCACTTACAATCGTCCATCGCATTGTTATTGCCGCCAGTGTTCAAAAATAATGCAGACATCGCGTGCCCGATACAAGCTAAGAAAGCCACATGGTGTGTGACGTAGAGAGGGTTGGGTTGCCGGGTCTTGGTTTAATAGGCCGGCACACTGAGGTGCTGAAAAAACCAAACAAGCAGTGCTGGGTAGGGTAGAATTTCATAAACGTTCCATAAGTGGCCGCTGGCTAATTGTGGCGCTAGACAAATGTAAAATATATATATCAACTATTCATGGGCATGAAAACGATTTTTTCCAGAAATCCAGATCGGCTCACAAATAACGGAGGAAAGAAGGATGTTCCGATCACAGGGAACCATCGCACGCCTTGGAGTCCTATCCACGGATCAAGGACATCAGGAGGAAATTAAGGATCAAGGATATTTTTCCTGTCGAGTGGCGGAGAACTCGCCATTAGGCGTGTCGAATTATCTTTTCCGAGGATCTTCCCGATCACGGGATGGAGAAATGGAGAAAACCGGATATACATATATGCCAGAGAAAATATCCTTGATATCCTTTCATTACTGACATCGCCTTCCCACCTGCACCACGGATTACCACATCCTGGATTCCTATCTATGACTAGGTAAGTTTTCCTTGTTTCCCCTATTCATCTTTTCCATTGACTATTTATTTCGTTGTTCTCATATTTTGTTATTCCCTCCAGGTTATTGGCTCAGACCAGGGACCAGCGATCCACGGCGGAATTGTTGGTTCACGCCTCGGTAAATATTGGTCACCATTCATTCGCCGCCGAATAAAACGCTGCGCTTCAGCTTTGAGACGCGTAAGTTAATCAGTATATAATTTTGGATATATTTTAAAACATGTCTTCCTTCACAGAGGACTTATGTATGTACCCTACGCTTTGCCACAAACCGAGTCCAGACGGAGTCCTATCAAAGTATCCCAGCCAGACAGAATCGTATCCCAGCAGGACGAAAGCACACCCCTTGCAAAATCCGAGCCTTCGTCATCCTTCTACCTTGTCATCGACAACCAGGACTTTGACTATGGCAACCAAGGGAGGGGCTACGCAGACTTCTAGATTCTGGAAAGATCTCGTTGTTGTTAGGTTTAAGGATACACGTCTATATACTAAGATAGTAGATATAAATGTTTTCCACTTGTTTATTTATTTGTACTAAGTTAAGTTATAATTAATAAAACTGTTGTAAAATCATCCTTGCTGTATCCTGTATCGGGGAAACTATCTCGATTGCAAAAAGGCGTGGCACGTCCAGATCGGTTCACAAATGGGGAGAAAACTAAATATTTTTTATTGGAGAAAATGTCCTTGATCCTTGATAAGGACTCCATAAAATCAGGAAGCCGTCGCACGCTCAGATCGACCCATAAATGGCGGAGAAAACTAATATTTCTGATCCTTGATATCCTTGGTCCTTGAAAAGGACTTCATAAAATCAGGGACATTTTTCCGATCACAGGAAGCCGTCGCATGCCCAAATCAGCCCACAAATAACGGAGAAAACAAAATTGGCTTAGAACTGTCTTTTAAAATGTAGTTCAAGAAATTGCCGATGGGGGCGCCACCGTACAAAGGGAAAAAACCTCCCGTCAAATGGCCAAAATCTGGATGGGATACCAGGCGAACATAAATCAGCAGAAGGTAACTGAATTTTTTAAAATTTGTGGCCCCCTAAAGTATGCTGCGAAATTTTTTTGCAATTGCTGCAGTTGCTTGCTGCTCATTTCTGTTCGCCTGGTATCCCATTCAGATTTTGGCCGTTTTCTCCGGTATTTGTGGGCCGATTTGGGCGTGCGACGGCTTCCTGTGATCGGAAAAATGTCCCTGATTTTTCGAAGTCCTTTTCAAGGACCAAGGATATCCGGGATCAAAAATATTCATTTTCTTTGCTATTTATGGTCCGATCTGGGCGTGCGATGGCTTCCTGTGATCGGCAAAATGTCCCTGATTTTCTGAAGTCCTTATCAAGGACCAAGGATCAAGGATATGTACTCCAGACATATATATCTTGTTTTCTCCCTTATTTGTGGCCCGATCGGGACGTGCGACGGCTTCCTGTGATCGGAAAAGTGTCCTTGATGTGATGGAGTCCTTTTCAAGGACCAAGGATATCAAGGATCAAAAATATTCATTTTCTCCGCTATTTATGGTCCGATCTGGGCGAGCGACGGCTTCCTGTGATCGGAAAAATGTCCCTGATTTGATGGAGTCCTTATCAAGGACCAAGGATATCAAGGATCAAAAATATCAGTTATCTCCGCCATTTATGGTTCGATCTGAGCGTGCGACGGCTTCCTGTGATCGGAAAAATGCCCCTGACTTAATGAAGTCCTTATAAAGGACGAAGGATTTTATTATTTAATTTTGTCCGATTTGTGCCCCAATCTGGGCGTGCTATGGCTTTTTGTGATCGGGTGAAAATCCTTGACTCGGTTGAGTCCTTATCAAGGATCAAGGATCCTTGACCAGCAAAAAATGTAATTTTCTTCCTTAATAATAGACCCTTAATAAAGTCCTTGTCAAGGGTCAATCCTCTTCAAGGATCAGGGATATTTTTTTTGTACTCCGATCGGTGTGTTGCATGGCTCGAAAAAAAATACCTGATGGAGTCTTTATCAAGGACTTTTTCCCCAGTCATATATGTTTTGTTTTCCCCTAACTATCCCTCAAACAATACTTCTCAAATTTGATATTTTTAGTTAAATATTTTTTATTTTCGTTTAAATTTATGTAAGCATGGATGTATTTAGCCTTTTTGTTTTTCTATAAATATGTAATATAATTACGCATATAAGAATAGGCTAATTTATAACAATGAGCTTATATGTACATATGTATATATTTATGGTATGTACATACTGCATATAATAGTAAATACACATCTTGGAGATTGATAGTATCAAAATCTTACAGCTATCTACTATAACAATATAACAATAACAAAAAAGATATAAGTTGAAAATCTGCAGGGCTTCTAAGCGATAGATAATGAAGCGTGCGCACAGCGAGCGTGTATGGGTTGTTGGGGTAGTCCTTCCAAACTTTTCTTGTACGAAGTGGATTCTGCGCCAGCTGATCTGTTCGTCTTCAAATTGGAGTCCAGACAGGTGCTGTCCGACTGCCCTATGCGTCTCTGAGTAGTTGGCTGCCGGATCGGCATATTGAGCTGTGAGGAACAATCAAAGATTAGCATTTGAAAAAACGATATTCAGAAGGAAACTCACCAAAGTAACCCAGTTCTATTCGTTTCTCAATGTCTTCTAGGTCCACATCCTCGATATTGCCCATAGTTCCAGGGATAGAAGTTAGCGAAAAAGTCCTCCCCACGGCTTTTATGGAGCTGTACACCCTCGCGCACTGCTCCGACGAGACAGGGCGACAGGTCCCGAGGACAGGATAGGAGCCAATAAGCAAAGATTCCCGCTCTAGCCAGTTGATACGCAAGAAATCCTTGATGTGTTTTAAGGGACTAGCCACACGATCCTGAAAATAGTGTTGGAATTAAATATTTTTCAGCGGTGTTTCTCGGTATATCGATGGCTTACTTACTTTACACTATGATGCAGCTGCAGATTGGTCGTGTTGAATGTGGCCTGTGACATGTTGACAATGATGAAGGGCGATCGGTTGACCGGTCTATGCTGTAAGAGTAGAGAATATTAGTGGCATTATTTACAATCGGTAACAATCATAACAGTTTTTTGGAAAATGCCATTTGAAAACTAAATAACTAAAACTTATGTATATTTAGAAATAGGAGTTCGACAGCGAAAAACAGAACAAATATGGATGGAAATTTTGATTCAGACTCTTCCGAGAGTGGGGCAATAAGCATAAGAGCCTCTGATAACTATAGGGAAATAACTGTTGGCAAGCAGATCTGCATTATGCCGCCCCGACCAGGCACTGCGGTGATGAACTACCAGGAGCTGTACATACCACGCGACCAGTTGACCTCCGTCTTCTATCCCATCGAGGAGGCACAGCGCTGGCTCACGTTAGTCGACAAAATGGGAAAATCGCACCGCTTTCCCTTGCCAACCATTCTGCCGAAGGTGATTCAGACCCGGTATGTGCCCAAGCGACAGCTGCCCAAGGACGTAGAGGTGGATCGTCGTCGGCGGCAGTATCAGAAGATCAATCTAAACGAGGAGCTCTTGCTGGCGGGCCTCACCGACGACGTACTGCAGCCTACCGAGGAGCAGTACAACGTGATGTCGGAGTTTGCCTTTCCGCACAAGTTCCCCCTCAGCTACTTTGACGATAGTAACTATGACACCAATTCGCCGGAAGCCTGGTTCGATCTGGGCGTGGTTGGAGACGCACACTATCCGCTTCCGGCAAAGGCGTATCTACCATTCAACCGCAGCTTGCTCAACTGCCAGTGGGTTCTGGCTTCCGTCTCGGCGTACAACGAAGATACGGACATGTGGACACTGCTCTCCCTGGAGGATTGCTGCACCTATGAGGTGCCCAAGCTGCAGTTCATGTTCCTGGCCGAGAATCCGCACAAGTACATAAGTCGCCTAAAGGCCGCCGTTCACGAGCGCTACAAGGGCGAGCAGCTGATGCTGATGGAGCTTATTGTCGACTGCGTGCTCCACGAGGACATCGAGTCGACGGCCTTCTACAGCTTCAAGCCCATCGAGGCAGTGCTTCAGGCGGCCACGGTCTCCGAGCAGTGTAAGCGACGACTACGATCGGAGGTCAATTTGGTCTTTGAGCGCCTGATGGCTCTCTACGAGCTGGAGCAGTTCATCATTACGATGCCCAAGGAGTTTCCGCAGTTCCGCAACATCAATCTCAAGGATTTTCTGCCCCGTGACTTTCACAACGACACCTCCGACCGCGAGAGAGCCGAGGTGCAGGCCCTTGGCATAACCATGTCGAAAAAGCGCTATGCCTACCTGGAGGCAAGTCTCTTTTATTGTATCGGCGGCTTCGAGGCCATGGCCGGTGTGGCCATCGAGTGCCAGCATATCGAAAAAATGTCCATCTTCATCTGCAACTTCAGCAAGCCCCTGGCGCTGGCGGACTTTCTGGAGTCGCAGGAGGCGCACAGCGACAATGTGGCCACGTATCTCAAGGTCTACTGGCCCCAGCAGCTCACCTCCGTCATTACCGTGGTGCTACGGGCGCTGGGCAAGGGCTATCTGGACATTGCCCTGCACGACTGGACCGTGTATCTGATGTGCAAGATCTCCAGATTCATATTGCAGGTGAAATTTCGCATGCAAGACTCCATGGAAGTGCTGCTGGAGACCTCGCTCATGAACTTCTCGCACTTTGTGTGCGATCCCTGCCTGCAGTTCCTGCAGCTGAAGACGAACTTCAAGTGGACCAGCAACTACATTGACACGGAGTTCCCCTTTCCCAAGCCCGTATTCGCCATGACCCTGGGCATCAACGAGGATCGTAAGGTGTTCTACTCCACCGATCCTGATGAATTCCAGCCCGCTCTGATGGACATCTACAAGAGGGGCCTGGAGAAAACCTCTGGCGTGAAGATGATCGACGCTACAGTGATGACCTTCCTTAAATTCGCCCCCAATTTGTACATCCTGACTGTGGAGCTGATTGAGGACAAGTTCCTGATTGAGAACGAGCTGATGCGGCACTGCTATGCCAAGGCCGTGCTGCCCCTCAAGGCGTACGCGCGGATGTACGAGAGATTCATAGACTTCTATCTGCTGAACCTCAACCACTACATGGCGAGCTATGCGGCGGCCAAGAAGCCGTCCTCGGAGGTCAAGCGGGACATACTCGAGCACAAGCGTTTGAAGGAGGAGCTGCGTGTGATTCTGCCGGCCTTCATTACCATTGGACCTTTCTACATCAACGTGGACACGCTGAAGCAGTTCCTCATCAAAAAGCGCATCGAGGTCGTGCGTCGCATTTTCGAGTACTACGTGGATCGCATGTTCGAGACGAATGAACTGCTGCTGGAACGCTGTTTGGAGGTGTTCAACAAGATTGCCGAGCGGCCCATCAGCATCGAGCATCTGTACAGCATTCGGGACTTTGCAGCCACTGTGCCGGATGTGGTCGACCAGCTGCGGGCAGACATACAGATCATGTGGCTGGAGTACGATCTGCTGGACAGTTTCTTTTATAATTTGAGCGATCACCAGTTCGCCATGAAATGGAACGTGTTCGCCTGGCCGCACCAGATCATGGTGCGTCTCTCCACCCTAAAGGAGGAGCAGAAGATCGATATTGAGGAGTTCCTGCGGCAGCATGCCAGCGAGTGCCAGGCGTTTGAGGAGCGCCTGGAGTCCCTCAACGATGAAGTCCAGGCCTTCTCCTTGGTCTTCAATACGAATCGAGCCCAGGAAACATCGGTGGACATCAAGAAGACCTGGGCGCTGATCAAGGAACTCGAGAAGGTCGGCCAGACGCTGCAGTACCGTCAGATGCTGTTCGAGCTGGAGCCACTCTCCGTGGAGTTCCTCCAGAGCATCATCGCCAGCTTCCAGCCCTACAAGCAGCTGTGGTACGCCTGCTCCAACTTCCTCAAGCTCGAGGAGGCCACGCTGGGCAATCCGATAGCCCAAGTGGAACTGGAGGAAGTGTGGAACAACCTGGAGGAGCTGCGCAGCGAGCTGAATGAATCCTTGGTCATATTCAACGAGAAACCCGAGATCATGGAAGTGGCCCGGGTATTTATAGGGAAAATCGATGATTTCGTTCCGCTCTACAACAGCATCAAGGATCTGCGCAACGAGAACTGGATGTACGTCCACTGGGCGGAGCTCAGCGCGGTGGTGGGCGCCGAGATCAAGTACACTATTTCCATGAACTTTCAGTACCTGGTGCGCAAGGGCATCTTGGACTTTCTGCCTCAGGTGCATTACATCTCTGTGAAGGCCGACAACGAGGCTGAGAGTCTACGCGCCGCCCTGGAGGAGGAGGAGCGCCAGAAGCAGGCCGAACTGGATGCAATTCTGCTGCGCAAGCAGTTGCGCAAGTGCCGCCGGGATATACTCTAAAGGATTTTGTTTTAGCCTTTACTTTTCTTGTTTTACAAATGTTAATCTAAATTAAATATTCTTTCATCTCTAGAGATCTGCCTTGAATATCCTTGAGGGCCATCCAGAAAAGCAGCATCGCAAGCACTACGATCTGATAGGCGATCACAGTTGCGGCGCCATTTGGTCGATTCTTCTCTAGATTGTAGAACATGGCCGAGACGCCCAGCGGCAGCTCCACATGCTGTTCGCTGCCATCGAACTCCAGGTCGTGTCTCTGCCCGAGGACGATCCTGGCATACTGCAGGACATTCTGATGCGGCACTCGTCCCTCGAGCAAGGCCACGTCTGCCATATGGAACTCGTAGCCGACGCTTAGGAACATGTTTCGGCAGCTCAGACTCTGCTGCACTTCATCGTAGAAGCCCTGAACGGGTGGCACTTCCTGGCCGTTCTCCTCGAAATAGAGCTGTATGGGGATCCAGCTCTCCGGGTGCGGTCTTCCCAGCTGTGACACAAAGACTTGGGTCATCTCGTCCAGGCTGCTGCAGTTGTGGGGCAGCAGCTTCTTCCAGATCTCGGCCTGGAGGCTCTGACAGAACTCGGTGTGATTGGCATTTTCTTGGAGTAGTGGTGCTGCCTGATGCAGCAGACATTGCTTGGCAAGATCCACTCCGAAGCGTAGGACCTGTTCTTCATCCAATTTCCGTTGACAGTTTCCGCTGCGAGGCTTCCTGGAGAAGAGCGGCAGCCAATGGTAGTCCGGGTCATCGATTCTGGCATGAAAGTAGCTCAGGAGCTGCTGGTCCTCGCTGGTGTTTTGTGGCAGCATTCTCGATAGGATTACGGGGGAGCCGGCTAGGTAGCCCAGTGGACCCGAGCTGGGCTTCGCCAGCGATTCATTTACAGTGGCAAATGTGACCGCGTAGTGCATCCAATTGAGTTCCGTGTCATCCTCTTCTGCAGGAGCTTCCCTGATCAAAAGTTTAGCCTCCAGAATGTTTGTAAAGTTGTGGATCAGTTGAAGTTCCAGACTCTCCACGGGAATATCCCATTGGGTGTCGTTTCCCGACTCGGGGCAAAGCACTCTTCCGTTGTCCAATTTCTGACATACTTGTATATTCAGAGAGTCCACTTCCTGCTCCTCCAAGTCTCTTGGCTTCGGCAGCAATCGATGGCTAGCAGTCAGATTGAGAATCGCCCACACACTCTCCTGCAATTGAGCCTGATCTCTCATCAGGCAATTGCTGACCATCGGCTGCAAGTGTCGAACGAGCTGCTTCAGGTGGCACTGGGAGCTCTCGTAGGCCGCGGGAAGATCAAAGGTGGTCCACTGCTTGCTCTCTGGGTGCCACAGTTGCAAGGGTTGTCCGAGTTTGTACAGCGATGACAAGGATGGCGGCAGTGCGGGCTCCGTCTCGTAGGCTCCCAGTGGGTCTGGCCATTTCTTGTACTGCGAGGCGTCAAAGTTTTTGATCTTCGGCTTCACTTTGGCTGGCTTTGTGTTGCTTCGAAAGACACAAAGCCATCCATCGTTGATCTGGCAGGTGGGCAGGCCGTGGGTATACTGAAAGTCCTCCAATCTTGAGAGCAGCTGCGGCGGAGCCGACACCTTCAGGCAGCTAAAGACCTGCCTGGTCTCTGTGGGACAATCGCGATCACAGCAGCAATTCAGATCGCACATCTTCGACCGCAGATCACAAGAGCAAAAATAGAACGAGTCATCCGGAAAGTTCTTAGAAATCTTTGGCGTCTCAGTGGCATTCAAGGGCTGTGCTTCGGCAGGGGCAACCTCCGCAGGAGTTGTGGTTTTCGGTGCATCTGTGGCCTTGGGCTTCTGTTGGGGTCGTGGTGGAAAAGTGTTGCTGGGAGTGCTGGTGGCCACTTCTGGCAAGGGGCTCGTAGAGCTAGCCAGATCGGTCATCGAGGATACCGGCACAGGTGTGGTCGTGGTCGAGGTTCCTGGTTCCGTAGTGCTTGGGGGAGTGGGTGTGGGTGCGGCCGTGGTGTTGTAGTGTTGGGAGATTCCAATCTTAATCGCGTGGGTTGGGGTACTGGGTGCTGTGATCAGACACAGGACCGACAGCAGAAGAAGCTTATCCATTTCTAATGGAATTCCACGCCGTATTCCTCGAACTTGCGAAAGATTAAGTGGAGATCAGCGATGACTTTTCCAGAGCTACGTGTCTGCAGCTTATAGCTAAAAGAGATTTCAAATATTAGGAGAACTCGCACAAAAACTGGATGGAGGCCATGTACCGCTCTACGCCCGAGAAAAGCAGATCGGTTTTGCTCAAAGACGCTCCGCCGCCGCCGAAGCGCTCGCGAATGCTCTGCCACCAGCCGTTGGGCGCAACCTTCCAGGTGTTAATCTCCACCCGATGGGCACCGGGAGTGGCTGGAATGTGGGCAAAGCCGTAGCCAACGGGCCAGGACTGCTGTAGCACGTTCACTGCGTGCACCTCCACCAGCAGTGTGGGCCAGCCCTGGACGGCAGCGCAGCTCAGGTGAATGTCCAAGGGCGCCGCAAAGTCGGAGCAGCTCTCCAAACGGTTCGACGAGACGTGCGTTTGTCCGTGTACCTCGCCTTGAATCAAGCGCCAGGCGCTGCCTTTAATTGATATGCAAATAAGTCTATTGATCGTCGGAGGAATTTGTGTATGTTTCTGTGGGGCATAGCATACCGCTCTGCAGGGTCCACGTGCAGAATAGATGCGGCTCGTCGAAATCAACTGCTTTCAATATTTGTCCAATTATGTGCACTTCCGCCATCAATTGATCTGTAATTTTTTACTCGAAATCGCGCTTCGCATTAATAAAGTTTTTAAATACTTTTATTTCACTTGATTTCTCTGACAGCCTACAGTTTTTTTCTTTTTTTTTTTTTATGTTTTGGCAGTTGGTTGTTGCCCTGGCAACCCTTTAACCCCCTAAAGGGTGCTGCCAACCCGTGCGGAACGACCAAGGAACTGGTTCGCGTGGAGGGAACCTGTTCTGTACTCAGGGGGTTGGAACTTGTCGTACAAATTTTTTATTTATTTACTGACTGTTAATTTTTAATGAAATTTTTTTACTTGCTCCACGGCAGCGTCACGATTGGAGCTACCTGTTAGAGAACCAGGGATCCTCTTTCACTTGTGGCACGTTGTATCGGATCTTGACAGGTGCTAGGACGTGCATTATCATATGCTTGCATTCGCTGGTGGCTGGCGGCGATTTGGGGAACACCAGCGACTGATTGATGCGCTTCAGGAGTATGTGAACATTGGAGCCGTCGTAGGGCAGACGCCCGAACACCATGGCATAGCAGACCACACCGCAGGCCCACAGATCGGACATAAAGGGATCGTAGGCAACGCCTGGGGAACGGTTATGAATGGATGAAATAGGAGGGGGTGGGGTTGGTGGTGTTCAGAATTACCCTTAAGAATCTCGGGGCTGGCGTAGGCGTAGCTGCCGCAAAAGGTTTTCGACAGCACCACCTGGTTGTCGGAGGAGCGTGTGTCCTTGCGGGCAAAGCCGAAGTCGATTAGCTTGAGATTGTAGTTCTCGTCCAGCAGCAGGTTCTCGCACTTGATGTCCCGATGGACCACGTTCTTGCTGTGTATGTACTCCACGGCGCTAATCAGCTGTCGGAATAGCTTCCGCGACTCCGTCTCGTCCAGGAACTTCTTCTCACGCACATAGTCCAGCAGAGTGCCGTTCTCCGCCAGTTGCATAATCAAATATACCCTATGGATGGAGGGGATGGGGGGTTTCGGATGGTATCCATTGGGACAGCACGACCTGAGACCTACCTGTGACTGGTCTCTATGCTCTGGTAGAATGTGATTAGATTCTCATGGTGCAGTCCCTTCACCGCCTCGATTTCGCGCGGCAGGAACTTTTGCGTATACTCCGGCGGGGCCTTCACCTTGGAAATGATCTTGACGGCCACGCGCTTGCCGTATTCCTCGGAGAAGCCGATCTTAACCTTGGCATAGTTGCCCGTGCCTATCACCTTGCCCAAGATGATGCCATGCTCCTCGAGTATGGTCTTCTGAGGCTTGGCCTTGTCCTCTTCCTTTTGCTGAGCTGTCCCTCCAGTCGACTTGGCCTGGACCTTATCGCTAGTGAAGGTGTATACCTTTTGCTCCTGCCGACGCCCCGAGCTCGTATCAGTGACCAGATCTTGGGAAGAACTTGCTCCAACCACTGCAGAAAATTACATCAAATCATATTTATCTTGTGGCTTTTTGTGGCTTGTTTTACCTGGGCCTGGATCGCCTTTTCGTTTTGGGGCTGTCGCCATTTAAAATGGTAACCACAGATGCGACCTTGCCACGTGCCCCAGGGTGTTGCCGAAATATTAGCGTGCGCTGCCGTGCAACAACCAAAGAATCATTGAAAATAGTACATGTTCGGTTATGAACAATTTTGATAGATCATTTTTGTCAGCGATTTGACATATATTTCAGTGTTGAAATAAGAAACTATTCCAAACAAAAGGTTCGTTTCCTGGCGTCCCATGAGATAATCCATTGAATTCGACTTTGAAATTGGTAACCGGAGAACGAGAGTTTTCCCTGGAGAGCGGCACAGGCAGGGAGAAATGTTTATTTAATTGAGTTAATATGCCATAGGCGGTATATGCTGTGGCGGTATCGTGTGTTTCCAGTTGCCAGTTGTGTAATAACTCAAGCAAAAATCAAAAAGGCCGCGCCGCCCCACCCCAGCCCAGCCCAGCCCAGAGGGCCTTCAAGAGCTCCTCTTTCTCCTCCTACTCTCCTGCTCCCTATGTGATGGAGTGTATGTATGTTTGTGTGTGTTCGAGTGGGTCGGTTCCAACTTTGCCGTCGCGTTAACTTTTTGCTGTCCAGGCACCGGGGACCCAGGCCCCATCACTGCCCCATCCCCCAGCCCCTAGGCATTGGTTACCTACATTTTTACTTAACTTTCATCGCTCTGCCGTGTTTGAGTTTTGGTTTATGAAATTTTAACATTTTTCGCATTACTTTGCCCCAAGTCGGAGGGGCGTGGGGTGGGCTGGGGGATTGGAGAAGCCCCTACCCCCCGTCAGCAAATTTTTAAAGTAGCTTAAGGTCATTCGAGCGGTTTGTAAATTTCAATTGAAATGCGGACAACGACAACTGCAAATACACTCCCTCTCCTTTGACTGAGTCTTGGCGCTCCCGTTTGGGGCACTTTCTGGCCGGCTCCTTGTGGCTCCTTTCTGTGTGGCGTGTGCAAGTGAAGTGAAATTTTTGTGTTTCATTTAAAATTGAAATGTAGCCGTAGGCGGCACAAAGTCGCCTGCAATTGGCAGAGTGGAATTTAATACTGTAGTGGAAACCCACTGTATCCGACGGCACCTGCCCTTCTGACCCCCCATCTGGTCTTTTCTGGTCTCCTCTGGCGGCACTGGATCTGGCTCTGGCACTGGCTCTGGCTCTGGCACACTGTTCACGCTTCTGTATTACATCAAATATTTATAATTTCATAATGAAAAAGAGCAGCCTGCCAAAGATAATGCGAGCACACGGGCGGCACTTGTCACTGGGAATACCCTTTCGGAGCACTACAGTACTCTCAATTGTGTTGCACGGCTTGCCCCTCCTTCTAGTGTTCACCTTTCTGGGTGTGCACTGTGGCCGTGCCTGGACGCAGTACTGAAGAGCATACCCTCCTCGGCTTGATGTTGCCAATTTTTAATGTTCCTTTGTTTTTTTTCTCTGTTTCTCTTTCTGTGCAGGTCACCTGCCTGTGGATCCTGGATGCCGGCACCTGGCCACCTGGCCACCTTCCTGGCTGGTCGGGTAGGAGCATGCATGTTAATGTCCCGCCATTACGTTGATTTCACAATATCCTTGCACATCCTGTCCTGTCCGGAGCACTGCAGGCAGCACAGCACAGCACAGCACAGCTCAGCTCAGCTCGACTCGGCTCGGGGTTTTGCACTCCGCAACTCTGCACGGCAATGTCAAAATTGTTTGTGGCAGTTGCCACCGCAGTTGCGTTGCCTGCCAGCGGAAATGCCGTTGCAATGGACACAAAGGGTGGAGAGGAGCGGCAGGATGGCTGCAGGCTGCAGGGTGCAGGCTGCAGGATGGGGCGGTGCACAGTGGCCAGTGGATGGGGCGTGGAGAGTCGTGCAGTCGCCTTTTGTGGCACACGCAAAACTGACAAAACAGCAAAAATGACAACTGAAATATGCGATGCTGTGCGAAATTTGCGAGAAGGCATCAGCTTCCAGGCTTCGGGATCTGCGTTAGCCTGAGAGCTGCTCTGGGCTCTGGGATCTGGGATCTGGTGGGTCCTGACATTGTGGTTTGTGCTTGAACAGGTCGCCATCAGGATGCAATCGCCATTAGGGGTAACGGAGGTGCTCGTCCTCGTCCTGCATCGTGATTGTGCAATTGCTATGATAAAAACATAAATTTATAATTATCTCCCATAGTTCCTCCTCAAGTTTCCTGTCACATTTCATCATCTGGGGACTTTCGACAGCCCTGTAGTGCAGGCATGCCCCCGGGATGATAAAGAATTCCGGCACAGGAATGTTTCTTGGCTTATCCTTCTGCTCCTTCCGTCCCTCCTTACATTTATTGCCGTGTTTGTGCATAATGAAGCAAAGTCCATTGTTGCGGTCAGTTCTGGTTTTTCTCTCTCTTCTCTTTTGGCCTCCCGCCTCCCGGCTCCCTCCTTCTCCTCCTCCTCCTCCTCCTACCATCCAGCATGCAACTGAAATGGTCATTCATTTGCGGTAATGCGTGGTCACCACATGCCACGCCCTTGCGCCTCCTGCTGCCCCTTCCGTAGTGCATCTCTGCTTTTGCCGTTTTTCACTTATTCTCTCCCTCTGTTTTTCTCTGTGCATTTCCCTTTAGCTGTTATCTCCTGCCCCGCTCCGTTTGCCCTGTCATTAACATGATTCTTCTCTGGACGTTGCTTGCATATTTTCCCTGTTGATACCCTCACATAAGAGTCTCATAAATATACAATTGCCAATGATTATAGGATATTCCATTCAAATTGATACTTTTCACGTATTTTGGCTGCCGAAAGCAACGTTTAATGAAGTTGGCCAAAGAATTTGAAGAAGGTTTAGTCACAGAATCTACGGAATGGAATTCGTGTCATTTGTGGAGCATAAAAGTGTACTTTGTGCTTCGACTTGCCCCAACATTGCCTCCTTTCTTTTGTTTGCACTGATGTTTATTAAAAAATTATTAAAAAGAGCGAGACAACAGACAGGAGAGGAGGCACAAGAATGTAAGAAGAAACTTTAATGCTGTCCCAGGCATAATCGCAATGCAAATCTTTGTGCCTCTCGATGCGATGCGAAACGGAAATGAAATGAAAAGAAACGACTTGCAGAAATGTTGGAAAGACGGGAAGGGAAGGGAAGGGCAGGCAAACCATTTGTTATGGAAGGAAAGCTGTGGAACCTATGGTTACTTAATGAGAGCTCGAAACGATTGAGTGCGGAGATCGATGGGGATAGCATTTCGTGTCTCCTTTATGGCTAATCTATAGGCGTGCTCTCTGGAGTATAAACATGAAATCTGGCAGACGACACATATTTATCCAAGAATAATTTCATGTCCAATAACAGTTCAATTTCCGACTAAAATATTACGCCTTGAGCCCTGCTCTGCGGAGCTGCCAACACACTAAATAGAAAAGAGATTCTAAAAATACAGACGAAAAATTGTGGTGTGGCTACTTTTGAGACGCACACACAGACACGCCCACAAGCTGGGAAAAATTGTGGCGAAATGCAGTGAGGAATATTGTAATCCCAGTGCTGAAAGACCAACAACAAGGACACAGCGACAGAGACAGAGACAGAGCCGGAGACAACATAACTTCTTTGGCATAATAAAATAATATTTTGGCTCTAGTCCAAGGCAAAAACAAAGCCAAACAAGCTAAGAAACAAGAGCAACAGCAACGGACTAAGCTGCCACAGAACAGGGACAAGGGCGAGGAGCGGAAGTTGCACAGGGTAGTGGAAAAAGTCCAGAGACCAGATGAAGTGGCCTCTACTTTCCAAAGGGAAGATAGGGGTCGGCGAAGGGGTATCGAATCCAGAGGTTTGTGGCCATGACAGCGACCAAAGTAGCAGAAGTCAAGTGCCTGAATGTCCTGCGTTCGGGGGCTCTTCCTCTGGGGTCTCTGCGGCCTCTGGGGCCGGGTCCGGCCTGTCAAGTTCAAGGATTTAAAAATGTTAAACAGAACTATGGACTGGACCAGGCAAGTGGGTACGGGCATGCCCAAATAATGATATTGTATTGGGTTAGACGGTCTCTGTTCCTGTTTCTGTCCCCCTCCCTGTCCCTGTCCCCCTGGACGCTTCTTCCTGTCTGGCAGTCGGTTCTGTCATGATTTTATTTTGCATGCAGGCGCGTGTCAATGCACGTCCTTCCTCCCGACCCCCCTTTGGCGTGCAGTGAAGCGTTGTGTTGTTACATTTTTGGCAGCCCGCCTAAAAGTATGCAACGTCTGTGTCTGCTGCGGAATTGTGCATGTCTGTGCCGTGCCGTCTCTGCCCTTCATTACCCTTTAGCCTTCACTCTTTGAGTGCGGGTTACCATTTTTGTCCCCCCACAATTTCAAGCTATTTCAATTTAGGCTTCAGATTTATTTAAGGCATTTCCAGCCAGCCCTATGCTCCCTGGCATTCGTCGTAGGCCGGCAATTTAAATGCTGGCTGGCATTCACCTCGTTTTGGCCTACCATATGCATTTAAATGCCTTGCATGTGAGGGTAAAATAAAAAATCCAAATTGAAAAACGGGGGCAACACGGGGAAAACCTGCAATCGGCAACTGGCGCGCGCGTCGCCATTGCAATATGCAATATGCAATATGCATTTGTATATGTGTCAACAGCTGCTGTTGCTGCCAAATAAAACAAATGGCAAAGGGCTGTGCGAGTCGGGCAGGGAGTCGCGAGAGGGTTACTCTATATTAATGATCATTAGAAGGATATTTTTGGGGGAGACTCAGTGGGAGATTCAGGCCTATCATTTCACAAGCCTTGCTGACGACCAGTAATCTCCGAATGATTGATTGATCACATTCTGGAGAACTATAGAGACCTCAAACTCCATCTCTATGATCTCCGATTTATTGAATTATTTTCAAGGAATTACTCCATTAGATCACATTTTGGAGCACTTTATAATCATTTTTCGCCGCATTGCGAGTGTCATGCCAGACCTGTCCACAACTAACTTTCGTAGGTCTACGTTCAGTCCTTAATCCCTTAAGAGCTTATGTAACTTGTAACCACAAAATACCCTTCAGGCATGCTGCAAAACGAACCAAAACGAAGAGCAACAGTTTCCTCTCAAAAAAACAAAAAAGGAAACATATTACATATATCAAGAAAAGAGAAAAAAAAAAACCAAATATAATTCCT